TCAGTGTTCCTGAAAGGGGTTTTGCCTTCTACAAAATCAGTGTCCTATTAGCAGTGGCTTGCCTATCTACAATTCATGTCCCCATGATGAGCGTGGGTTGCCTGTCTACTATATCATTCCCAATGATGGGCATAGTTGCCGGTCTACTATATCAGTGTATCCCTGAGAAAGGGGCTGCCTATCTACTAAATCAGTGTACCCATTATTGAGCATTGGCTTGCCTATCTACGGATATCAGTGTACCCATGATTGAGCAGTGGGTTTGCCTGTCTACTATGTCATTTAACCCTATGAGTGACCCAATGTTGAGTCAGTAGGTAGCCATTCTACTATTTATCCAGTATTGTATCCATGTTTACGCAGTAGGTTTCTATATACTGATATCAGTGTACCCATGATTGAGCAGTAGGTTTGCCTGTCTACTATATCAGTGTACCCATGATTGAGCAGTAGGTTCGCCTGTTCTACTATATCATTGTACCCATGATTTAGCATTAGGTGCTGCCTTGTCTATATATCAGTGTACCCATGCTTGAGCAGTGGGTTGCCTGTCTACTATATCAGTGTACCCATGGATTGAGCAGTAATGTTGCCTGTCTACTATATCAGTGTACCCATGATTGAGCAGTAGGTTGCCTGTCTACTATATCAGTATACCCATGATTGAGCAGTAGGTTGCCTATCTACTATATCAGTGTACCCATGATTGAGCAGTAGGTTGCCTATCTACTATATCAGTGTACCCATGATTGAGCAGTAGGTTGCCTATCTACTATATCAGTGTATCCATGATTGAGCAGTAGGTTGCCTGTCTACTATATCAGTGTACCCATGATTAAGCAGTAGGTTGCCTGTCTACTATATCAGTGTACTCATGATTAAGCAGTAGGTTGCCTGTCTACTATATCAGTGTACCCATGATTAAGCAGTAGGTTGCCTGTCTACTATATCAGTGTACCCATGATTAAGCAGTAGTGTAATGAATGGTTTTGTATGTGGTTCTCGTTGTCTAGGCGGTGTTCATGCGTGTGTGGTGGATGATATTCTGACACGCTTCACGTTACACACCTGGCACAAGCCGACACCGATGTGAGCTTACGAGACATTACTTTATTGACGTATTACAACTTACGACAAACAGAATCGTCCAGTCGATGTCTAATTGAACGCTTTCGTACACAACTCACGCAGCCTTTTAACGAAACAGTCTTCTGCAGGCATTCAAGCAACGATGAGTCCCCATGGATTCAAACACTGACGTTTGGACATCTCACACGCTGGCATGGTCGATCTCAGCTTAACATTTCGTCGGCAGGTCTCCTTTCTCCTCAGCAACTCACATAGACATTCGCACATTCAGACGCTCGTCCTCTCGCTCTAAACAGGTCGACACAAAAACTAAACTTGACACAGAGTCAAGTCTGACTTATACCACGGGTTCCTTTCACGTGACAAACACTTGGTGGTCCTTTACTTTTCCCGTGGCGACCTTGGGTCGCATCACCGTGGTCCCCGTGATAAATAGTGGTTAGTCACCTATCTCCAGATTCTTCGGTTTTAATCCAAGTATCTGGGCTATCTCGGTGTTTTCGGTCAGCTTTGGGCCTTCCCCCCCAACCATCCTAAACTGGGTCGAAAATATCCCCATTACATTCTCCCTTCCCCGTATAAAAAAAAAAGTTTACTTTTTTTTTTTTTTTCCCTCATTATCGTTAATGGATAGGAGTATATTTTATGTAATGCTTGGGTATTTTCACTGGTATCATGGGTAAAATTTATTCCACCCCTTTTGGTAATTCATGTTTTTCCTTGGAACTTTTATCAGTTGTCATGCCCAGTGAGTATTATGTGGCGTAATGGAATCAACACCCCAGGCAATACTCTTTCAATTGCGGAAGACCATAAAGGCTCTACGCGTTTCCCACCTCATCCCACAGTCTGTCAAACGACAGAAAATCACCCCAGGCACTACTCTTCCAAGTGCGGAAATCCATAACGGCTATGGAACAATAATGTAAAACCCGTAAAGTCCCACCCTTTGCCACTATACTCACCGAACATCCCACTGATGTTATTTCCATTGGATATTCATTTATTTTCCCTTATAGGTGATATGGATTTTATCTCCCCTACCTATAGTGATTTCCCAACAGTCTTTATTACATTTCTAATAATTATCTCCCTTTACATTTTCAAAAATATTACAATGTATCACTTAAATTTCCTGTATACATTTCAATTGTTGAGTGATATTATATATTCAAAACATTAAATAGCATATTTCATCGTCACAACTTTGCATTTTCAATTTTGAAATATTGTTTACATTTTGTATTTAATAAATATTCATATCTAATTCTAAACTATTTCGTCATGTCACCCTATGTCTATGTCCAGTATTCGTCACAATGACATGATATATACAATTTAAACAAAATATATATACATACATATAAATCATATGTGTCGATCAACAATAACATTTCAGATGAACATACATACTAGAATCAGACTTACAATCTTGACATTACATCAGGCAGGTGATTATGGATGCCTTTGATGTGCTGTATTTTAAATTTAAACTGTGCAATCAATAGAGCCCATCTGTACACTCTAGCGTTATTTGTTGACTCCATGGTCATCAATTTAGTAAGACCTAAATTGTCAGTTAATATAGTGAATTCTTTCCCTAACAAGTATTTTTGAAATTTCTTCAGACTCAGAACTAATGCTAATGCTTCTTTCTCAAATGTGCTGTACTTTTGCTGTGTAGATGTTAGTTTCTGTGACCAATATAAAACTGGAAGAAGAGTGTCTGTTTCTTTCTGTGCTAACATTGCAGCTATGGTGTGTCCACTAGCATCTGTCTGTAGAAAAAAATGTTTACTTGGATCTGGCTGTCTCAAGATTGGTGGTGTTGAAAACAAATGTTTAATTTTTTCTAAAATTGTGTCACAAGTTCCATTGAGTCATCTATCAGTAAAAGGGAAAATGATACTTGATGTTCCATAAAGTATCATTTTGTTAAAAAGGGGGGGAGTATGTGATGAGGTGCTGTACATGGTCTTCACGATTACATAGTGGCAAGCAGAAAGTCCGTGCAACAAGGGATAGCACGAGATACTTGTGCCTAGTCGAGGAAGCGAGGGAAACCCCGAGCTAGCCTCGTGGTCAGTCGATCATCAGAAGTCAGGGAAGAAGGTTGTAGTAATTGAAGATGTAGTTTATATGTCGCGAGAATGGTTAATGTTCGAATATGTCGCGAGTGATAGAATTGAGAATAATTGTTTAAGCATGTTGAACACATGGACCAGAATAAACTGACAGATTGTACAATGAAGCTGAGTGGCGTTAGTGTTGTCAACCCTAGACGTTAAAGTCGGTGTAAACCAAGGTTCTTTCCAAGCCAAACCAAGGTTCATGTCAAGTCTACGTCAAGGTTCTTTCCAAGTAAACCACGATTCATTCTAAGTTGAATCAGAATCATTCCAAGTGAAGCAGTAATTTATTACAAGTAGGTTGCCTGTCTACTATATCAGTGTATCCATGATTAAGCAGTAGGTTGCCTGTCTACTATATCAGTGTACCCATGATTGAGCAGTAGGTTGCCTGTCTACTATATCAGTGTATCCATGATTGAGCAGAGGTTGCCTGTCTACTATATCAGTGTATCCATGATTTAGCAGTAGGTTGCCTGTCTACTATATCAGTGTACCCATGATTGAGCAGTAGGTTGCCTGTCTACTATATCAGTGTACCCATGATTGAGCAGTAGGTTGCCTGTCTACTTTATCAGTGTACCCATGATTAAGCAGTATCTTGCCTATCTACTATATCAGTGTACCCATGATTGAGCAGTAGGTTGCCTGTCTACTATATCAGTGTACCCCATGATTGAGCAGTAGGTTGCCTGTCTACTATATCAGTATACCCCATGATTGAGCAGTAGGTTGCCTGTCTACTATATCAGTATACCCCATGATTGAGCAGTAGGTTGCCTGTATCTACTATATCAGTGTACCCATGATTGAGCAGTGAGTCGCCGTAAATACATCTTTGTAGCACTTACCAAGGCTCCCATCCATTGCCTCTTCAAAACCTGTTGCTGAAAGGCAGAACAGTACCAGAGAAGACGTTCTGTACAAGGTCTCATATATACAGTTGGGTCTAGTTCTATTCTTGCTAGGTGGCCAGATCACTTCATTGTCTACTGCACAAAGACATTCTAGTTTTATTGTTCTCAGGTTTTCCCAACTACTGCTTCATACTAAGTATAAAAAATGGATTGACTGCCCATTGTACATCTAAGAACAAGAAGGAAAAGAACAATTGTTGCACATGCACAATAATTCCTTGATTGTATTTAGATATGATCAGTCGGGCCTTGGGTCCAGAATTTGGCGGCAGCATTGGCTTCCTGTTTTATGTGGCCAATGTGCTGGGCTGTGCCCTGTATGTAGTTGGTTTTGTGGAAGGTGTTCTGCAGAATTTTGGGGAAGGAGGTAAGATATGATGTCAGAAAGACTAATATTTAAGACCAGTATGTATGTGTGTGGGGGTTAAGACTAGAATGTATGTGTGACTAGGGTTTAATTAAGATAAGTATGTGTGACTAGAGTTTAAGACCAGTATATGTGACTAGGCTTAATTAAGATCAGTATGTGTGACTAGGGTTTAATTGAGATAAGTATGTGTGACTAGGGTTTAAGACCAGTATATGTGACTAGAGCTTAATTAAGATCAGTATGTTTGACTAGGGTTTAAGACCAGTATGTGTAACTAGGGTTTAATTAAGATAAGTATGTGTGACTACAGTTTAAGACCAGTATATGTGACTAGAGCTTAATTAAGATCAATATGTGTGACTAGGATTTAGGACCAGTATGTGTGACTAGGGTTTAATTAAGATCAGTATGTGTGACTAGGGTTTAAGACCAGTATGTGTGACTAGGGTTTGAGGCCAGTATGTGTGACTAGGGTTAAGACCAGTATGTGTAACTCAGGTTGGAGACCAGTATGTATGACTCGGGTTGGAGACCAGTATATGTGACTAGGGTTTAAGATCAGCACATATAACTGGGTTTCAGTCAGTATGCACACCTTTGTTTCATCAGACCAGTATATGTGACTAGGGTTTAAGATCAGCACATATAACTGGGTTTCAGTCAGTATGCACACCTTTGTTTCATCATACTAGTATTTATGACCGGGTCTGAGTCTAGGGTGTGTGTGACTGAGTTTCAGGTCCATAGAATGAATCTGAGGTTTCAGAAACATTTTGTGACTAAAGTTTAAAAGTCTGTGGTCAGTATTGATATAGTTGTGATTGAAAATATGTCTCTGTATAATCCGTGATGGAGTTATGTTTGAAAAGATCTGTCTTTTTGTAATCCTGGATGGTTTTATGTTTGAAAAGATCTATTTTCTTGTAATCCTGGATGGTTTTATGTTTGAAAAGATCTGCTTCAGGTAATCCTTGATGGTGTTATATTTGAAAAAAATCTTGCATCAGGTAATCCTTGATACTGTTGTGTTTGAAAAAAATTGTCTTCTTGTAATCCTGGATGGTTTTATGTTTGAAAAGATCTGCTTCAGGTAATCCATGATGGTGTTATATTTGAAAAGATCTGCTTCAGGTAATCCATGATGGTGTTATATTTGAAAAGATCTGCTTCAGGTAATCCTTGATGGTGTTATATTTGAAAAGATCTGCTTCAGGTAATCCTTGATGGTGTTATATTTGAAAAAAATCTGTCTCTATGTAATCCTTGATGGTGTTATGTTTGAAACAATCTGTCTCTGTTTCATCCTTGATAGTGTTTCATTTAAAAAGATTAGTCTTGTGTTATTTTTGCAGGGAGCTTCATGTCTGATGGAGAGGGACTTCCAGTGACCTCTGAATGGTGGAGGTATTTGTACTCCACGGTCTCCCTGTTTATCTGTCTGCTCATCTGTATTGTTGGAGGTGGTTTGTTTGCCAAGACATCAGCGCTCATTCTTTTGGTAATTCTGTGCTCATGTTGCTTTAAATATCATGCATGTCTTTATTTCTTCAAATCCGCATGGAGCCAGATTTTTGTTCGAAATGATCTAAGCTCCCTGGGTGACCCTGCCTTAAATGGGTGAAAGGTAAAGTCCTGGGAAGTAAAGTGGCCAGCGTTATGTTGACCATCAAGGGCTGAATGGTCTATACAAATACGAGTCTAGCCTCATGTGGAAGATTGGCTAGTAAACAGCATCTTGTCTTGGAAGCTGAAATATTTTGGTCATATCAAGCGCCGTGGCAAATTGGAAAAAATAACAGCAAAGAGCAGAAGGCATGGTATCAGGAAGGAGGGGCAAGGGCTGACCAACATGAAGTTGGCACAGGATGTAAGTGACTCCTTGAATATGAAAGTACATGAGGTGGGAGAGAGATACCGATTTCTTTCAGGCATACCGTGATGAGAGCGACGTTCTGCAAACGACCTGCTACATGATGATGAATATGATGTGCCTCAAAGGCACGATGTGTAACTGTCATGTAAAAAAAATCTTTACTTTTTTGTTGTTTCAACTTATGTCTTTATTCACACCAGTAATTAGAGTCTCACAGTAAAAGATCATAGTAAATGGAGAGATATTAGCAGAAGTAACATGCTGCTCCTACCTTCAAGCTCCTACCTTTGAGCTCCTATCTTCAAGCTCCTACCTTCGTGCTCCTTTTTTTTCGAGCTCCTACCTTCGTGCTCCTACCTTCGAGCTCCTACCTTTGAGCTCCTACCTTCAAGCTCCTACCTTCGTTCTCCTACCTTCGAGCTCCTAAGTTCGTGCTCCTACCTTCGAGCTCCTACCTTTGACATGTAGGATGGCAGATGTGAAAAAGAAATATAAAAAAGTTAAGAGGAATGGCCAAAAATGTTTTCACAGTATGCAGAAAATATGGACATCACTTCAAGAGAGATAAGTTAGTTTCCTGTCCTTAACAGGACGTTGCAGAAACCACCCCAGCATTCTTTTGACTTCTGTTTTTTTTTTTTCTAGGCAAATTTTTACATTTAGGAATTTTCCATTGCTTTTAGAAGGAAAACAAATCACCTGCAGCTGGGATTGAACCCGGGACCCTGGCATTATGAAGCACATTCGCAATTCCTAAGCCACAAACGTCGACAGATAGATAAGCAACACATTACAAAATGAGAAATGTCAGATTACTATAAACTCGACCCTGCTGTTTCATGCAGATACGTGGACAATGAACAAAAATATAAAGTCAAATTGAGTCTCTGAAAGAGACCATTTATTTGAGTGCAGACTGCTGGTTTCCTGCCTCTTAGGCAGGTGCAATCCGACTTTGATGGAAACAGTCCTAATTAGTTGCTTTTTAGGAAATGCTTGTTGGAGGGGGGGGGGGGGGGGGGGGGGGAAGGGGGGGGTAGGTCTATTTGTGTTTTCCTCTCAGAATGTAGCCTCAGAACCACACAGGGATTGTAGAGAGCAGAAACCAATTTGTTTTGTGTGCACTGATGCTTTATTGACCATCTTTTGCAGGTGGTTGTACTGGTGACATTGTCAACCTTTGTCAGCTTTTTTGTTAAAAATTACCAAATTGAAGTCGCTTTGCCAAAAACCAACCATTATGCTTGGGGCAACAGAACCGATGCCCCAACAGGCAACTATACAGGCTTGCGTGCTGAGACATTCAGGGAAAATTTATTTCGTGAGTTTTCTCTCTTTTTTGTTCTTCTCTCTTTCACCCTTGCTCGCTCAGTCTCTGTCACATTCTTTGACTCTCTCACACAGTCTCTTTCTTCTCTCTCTCTCTCTCTCTCTCTCTCTCTCTCTCTCTCTCTCTCTCTCTCTCTCTCACCCTCTCTCTTTCCGGTTTTGCTCACTTTCTCACAAAGACACTTTCTCCCACTCAATCTTTATCACTTTTACACACGCTTTTTCTTCTTCTTGCTGACTCTTTTACAAGCTCTTTCACTCACTGTCTCCATTCCCTTCCTCATCTTTTCCTCTCTCCTTCTTTCTCTTTGTATTTGTGTGTACCAGACCAGGAAAACAATGCTCACACACATATTTCTTCAGCTTTAACCAAAAAGACTAGTTGCTTAGTCTGCTACAATGTATACACCCAGTCTGCTACACATGTATACCATTTACCCAGACTGCTACAATGTATACACCCAGTCTGCTACACATGTATACCATTTACCCAGACTGCTACACATGTATACCATTTACCCAGTCTGCTACACATGTAGTACCATTTACCCAGTCTGCTACACATGTGTACCATTTACCTAGTCTGCTACACATGTATACCATTTACCCAGTCTGCTACACATGTGTACCATTTACCCAGTCTGCTACACATGTATACCATTTACCAAGTCTGCTACACATGTATACCATTTACCCAGTCTGCTACACATGTATACCATTTACCCAGTCTGCTACAATGTATTACCCCAGACATGCTACACATGTATACCATTTTTACCCAGTCTGCTACACATGCCATTTACAGTCATGCTACACATGTACCATTTACCCAGTCTGTACACACATGTGTACCATTTACCCAGTCTGCTACACATGTATACCATTTACCCAGTCTGCTACACATGTATACCATTTACCCAGTCTGCTACACATGTATACCATTTACCCAGTCTGCTACACATGTATACCATTTACCCAGTCTTCTACACAAGTATACCATTTACACAGTCTTCTACATATGTATACCATTTACACAGTCTGCTACACATGTATACCATTTACCCACCATGCTACACATGTGTACAATTTACCCAGTCAGCTAGCCACACATGTATACCATTTACCCAGTCTGCTACACAAGTATACCATTTACCCAGTCTGCTACACATGTATACCATTTACCCAGACTGCTACACATGTATACCATTTACCCAGTCTGCTACACATGCTTTACCCATGTTCTACACATTTATACCACCCATCTTTACCATGTATACCATTTACTCAGTCCTTCTACACAAGTATACCAGTCTGCTACACATGTATTACCATTTACCCAGTCCATGCTACACACAAGTGTCTGCTATACCATGTTACCCCCAGTCTGCTACACATGCTACACATGTATACCATTTACCCAGTCTGCTACCATTACCATTTACCCAGTCTGCTAGCCACACAGACTATACACCATTTACCCAGTCTGCTACACATGTATACCATTTACCCAGTCTGCTCTACATGTTACCACATGTACACATGTACACCCGATTACTCAGTCTGCTACAAACATGTATGTCCGTCTGCTACACCCTGTATACACCATTTACCCAGACTGCTACACACATGTATACCATTTACCCAGTCTGCTACACATGTACACATACCCATTTACCCAGTCTGCTACTACACATTTACCTAGTCTGCTACACAAGTATACCATTTACCACAGTCAGCTACCCAGTCCACATGTTCACCAATTATATATACCATTTACCCAGTCTGCTACACATGAATACCATTTACCCAGTCTGCTACACATGTATACCATTTACCAAGTCTGCTACACATGTATACCATTTACCCAGTCTGCTACACATGTGTACCATTTACACAGTCTGCTACACATGTATACCATTTACCCAGTCTGCTACACATGTGTACCATTTACCCAGTCAGCTAGCCACAGTATACCATTTACCCAGTCTGCTACACATGTATACCATTTACCCTATCTGCTACACATGTATACCATTTACCCAGTCTGCTACACATGTATACCATTTACCCAGTCTGCTACACATGTACACCATTTACCCAGTCTGCTTAGAAAGTGTACCATTGGTGAATTTAGTGTTTCTGTAATACTGAGAGATAACTGGTGAATGTAATGTTTCTGTAATACTGACAGATAACTGGTGCATGTAATGTTTATGTAATACTGACAGATAACTGGTGTGTGTAGTGTTTCTGTAATAATGACAGATATCTGATGAATGTAATGTTTCTGTAATACTGACAGATAACTACACTGTAGACTACAGCACCGGCAATGTAATGAACTATGCAACAGTGTTTGCCATCTTGTTCAGTAGTGTCACTGGAATCCTGAACGGGGCAAATATGTCAGGTAGCCTTTGTGTCCATTTGTTCATAATCATCATCGTCATCATCATCATCACCATCATCATCTTCATCATCATTCATCTGCAGGTCCTTTAATGAATGTTGCTCTCATCATGGCATGCCTGAAAGACTCTCTTTCTCTAACACTAGGTGCTTTCTTAGCCATATAGCTCCAGCGTCTTGTATCCACCTTCAAGGATGTTGGCCTCTTCCTTACTTTCTAGAAACTGTACAAAAGGTTTGTGTGGCATTAAGGAATGTGTGGACGTCAAAAGAATATCAGTCTTTTGCCACTCGGTTCTAATGTCAGTTAATTTAACTACTGCTTTATAGAGATTTACACATTATGAGATGTTCTTATGTTTTTGAGGTAACAGTGTGTGACTTGATAACTGCATCACTTGGGCTCAAAGGCTTGCAGGGCATTGAGAAATGTGTCGACGTCAAAAGAATGTCAGTCTAATGCCACTTGGTTTTAATGTCAGTTAACTACTGCTTTATAGAATTTTACCCATAATGAGACATTGTTTTGTTTGTGAGGTAGCAATGTTTGACTTAACCTATCTTCCTCAGGTGAGCTCAAAGACCCATCCAAAGCCATCCCCAAGGGAACGATGTATGCTGTATTGTTTACTTTCTGCACTTACGTGGTTCTGTGCACACTTATAGCTGGCTCGTGCTCCAGGTCGGTGATCTTTCATGTTTTTATGTTTATCTTTGACTTGTTTTTTCCAATTTTTTTTTTCACTACTCTCTCGAATGTTATTACTGCTTATTTTCATATGAGATGATTTTGTTAAGTGGCTGTAGTGTGTCTGGAAATCATGCATGCTGTCTCCTATATGATGATCATCATCATGTGCCTTAGCTAGGAGCATAGGCTGTCGTGTCTGGTTATTTCACACGATCAATATAATCATTAATCAGGTCAGTGTGCTTGTCTCGCCCCCATCCATACGACCAAAACATCTATGTATTTATCTCTTTCCCTTCCTCTTGCTCTCTTTCCATCAATCTTGCCAGATGTTGCCTCGTTCTCAGATCCATTCCTTCTCACAACAGGTTCAGATGTCACTGACTTTCAGGTTTTGAGCTGGATTCTTGGGAACAAAATGCCATGGATGTGCAGGGGGAAGATCAGGAAGGCAATGGGAATAAAGGAAACAAATTTATCACAGAAAGGTTGAGAGTTGAGCATCTGAGAACAAGCTCACTAATTACATGTGATGGAACTATCCTGAAATCCCATGCTCTTATTGTGGTAGACTTTTCTGAACAGGGATGGGTCTTGCTAGTCACATTTGCCAAGAATGGGTCTTGCTAGTCACACTCGGGAGGGATGGGTCTTGCTAGTCACACTCGGGAGGGATGGGTCTTGCTAGTCACACTCGGGAGGGATGGGTCTTGCTAGTCACACTCGAGAGGGATGGGTCTTGCTAGTCACACTCGAGAGGGATGGGTCTTGCTAGTCACACTCGGGAGGGATGGGTCTTGCTAGTCACACACGAGAGGGATGGGTCTTGCTAGTTACACTCGAGAGGGATGGGTCTTGCTAGTCACACTCGAGAGGGATGGGTCTTGCTAGTCACACTCGAGAGGGATGGGTCTTGCTAGTCACATTTGCCAAGAATGGGTCTTGCTAGTCACACTCGGGAGGGATGGGTCTTGCTAGTCACACTCGAGAGGGATGGGTCTTGCTAGTCACACTCGAGAGGGATGGGTCTTGCTAGTCACACTCGAGAGGGATGGGTCTTGCTAGTCACACTCGAGAGGGATGGGTCTTGCTAGTCACACTCGAGAGGGATGGGTCTTGCTAGTCACACTCGAGAGGGATGGGTCTTGCTAGTCACACTTGAGAGGGATGGGTCTTGCTAGTCACACTCGAGAGGGATGGGTCTTGCTAGTCACACTTGAGAGGGATGGGTCTTGCTAGTCACACTCACCATGGATGGGTCTTGCTAGTCACACTCGCCATCACTGTGGGCTGTGATATCGCATGCCCCTCCATAGCAAAATGTAACACTGTCATCTGAAATGACAGAAAGGTGCCAGAAACTGTAGAAAGCACCTGATGAGATACAGCAAAATATGCCAGGTAATAAATTGTGGGCTGTCACTCAGTCTTTGAAGAAAAAAATTAGGGCTTTTGAACTGATATGCTACATAAAGGGTCTAAGATTAACCTGGACATCGACACCCTGCATGACCTGTGAACATCAAGGAAAACTGGCTCAGAAAAATCATCCTCTTCCCAAAGCTGGGATATTTTGGTCATGTCAAGTGCCGTGATGGATGGGAGAGAAAGGTGATGGAGGATGCAGTCTATGGGAAATAAGGCAGAGGTGGACCTCCACAAACATGGATACAGAAGATGCAACGGCTGTGAAAGCACCCATAGCTAGAGAAAGAGAGACTTATAGGCGTGCCGTGACGAGAGCGGCGTTCGTCAGTACATGATGATTGATGATGATGATGATGAATACATTGTTCTGTCTAATTAGTTTTGTCTTCTTTGTTTATGCTGACAGTTGATCCTGACAACTAACTGTGCGGGTTGTTTATGCAGGTACCTGCTGGTCAGTGACTACATCTTTCTACAACAGGTCAGTGTGTGGAAGCCTCTGGTGGTCATTGGCATATTTGCCTGCACCCTGTCTGCAGCTTTGGGAAATCTCATTGGTGGATCCAGAATCCTCCAAGCCCTGGGAAATGACCAGTTATACTGTAAGCATTGAACACTTGACAATTCCCCATGTGGGTTCTGGGGCCCCATTTGGGATGGGGGGGCATGTGGGGATAGATCTACTGCTCCCCCCCCACCCCCACTCCCCATAAAGCAAGTTGTAAGTCTACTGATTAGGGGTGTTTGGTTCAAAATCAGAGTGCATCTGCCTGAGAGATGAGGAACCAACAGTCTGCATACAAATAAAGCAGATCTGTAAAAAAAGATGTGCATGCAAACTCAAGTTTGGAACAAGAGTCCAGAAGTGGATGAACAACCAGAACTTTCCGCCGGAGTTTACAGCTGGTGAATGCTAAGAAGAGAAAACAGCTCTTTCAGTTATAAATAGAAATTAATAAAATGGACTCACCATGGGGTTCCGGTGTCCCACGCCTCTGGGGCTTCTTTTAAAAGCCGGGTTGATGTCATATTTTCCTCTAAGTGTCATTGATAGAGGTCATAGGGTCTCTGCATGAGTCAGGCAAAACATTCACCTGTGACTGCATGAGTCACTGCATGCATCAGGCAAAACAGTCACCTTTGACTGCATGAGTCAAGCAAAACAGTCACCTTTGACTGCATGAGTCAAGCAAAACAGTCACCTTTGACTGCATGAGTCAAGCAAAACAGTCACCTGTGACTGCATGAGTCACTGCTTGAGTCAGGCACAACAGTCACCTGTGACTCATGAGTCACTCAATACATATGTTTTTCTCTAAGTCCTGGGTATGTATTCCATGAAATGCTTCGCCATGTGTGTGTTTATTGATTCATATATCTTTAAATATTTTGGAGGGAAAAGGTAGATAATTGAGAAAAAAAATGTGAATTTATTAGTGACCTTTTTAAAATGTCCTTTAAGAACCAACCTGAGTACCTTTTGGCTGTTTTAAATTTCACTAGTCAATTCTACGTTCAGTAGTTTGCCATTACTTTCTGAATGATCTTGTCTGGATAGCACTTTTGAAACCAACACAAGGCAATCTGCTGTCAAATTGCCTATTGCTGGTGTTGAACCCGGCACTCAGAATTACAAAGCTCGTTTGCAACACCTGAGCCACTGACACCGACAAATTGCCGCAAGCCAACGTATCAAACATCAAGCTTCTCATTGTTGATTTCTTCATTAGGGTTCCTCCTCAAACCTGCCACCATGACTACAAAAAGCGGCAACCCCCTGATCAGTGTTTTCATGACTTGGTTTTTTGTTCAGGTGAGTGTGAGCAGAGTGTGGTTAACATTGTTAGAGCATGCATGTTATCCATTGCAACCTATGAATGTGAATTGTAGACTGTCTTGCAGTCATTAACTTTTTCATTCCCAAGAAACGGATCATGTGTTCATAGGTTCCCTCCTAGAAGCCCAGTGAACACAAGATGCGCCACTTTTATGTCTGTCTTGACTATCCCTTGGCCTCTGGTGCTAAACCCCCTGGGACTCAAAGAGTCAGGGGAAAAGGTAGCGTCTTTTTTTGTTTTTTGTTTGTTTTTTGTTTGGCGGTAAAAAATGCGCAGAATATTCGACCAAGAACAAAAAAAGAAATACTGACATGATAAAAGGAAGCATCTTATCTCGGAAACTGAAAAAGTTTGGCCATTTTAGATGCTATAGCAGATTGGAAAGAATTATAGCAGAAGACACAGTAACTGGGGCAGGGGTAGGCCAGCATGAAGATGGGCACAGTATGTAAGTGACACCTTGGGTAGAAAGGTGCATGAAGCAGGAAAGCTGGCGAGAGACCAAGTTTATTTCAGGCAGACGGTGATGAGACTGATGTTCTGCAAAGGAACTGTATATGGTGGTGGAGTGTAGGGGGGAACCAGTGGCGGGTCATGCATGTATATGAGTCTAATGTAACATAGTGACACTAATTATCAGCATAATGTAACGTACTGACACTTGAATGTCAGCATAATGTAACATTCAGACTTGTATGTCAGCTTAATGTAAAATTGACACTTGTTTGTCAGCTTAATGTAACATTGACACCTTTATGTCAGCTTAATGTAACATTGACACTTGTATATGAGCCTAATGTAACACAGTGACACTAATTATCAGCATAATGTAACGTATTGACACTTGAATGTCAGCATAATGTAACACATTGGCAGGTGTATGTAAGTGTAATGTAACATTGACACTTGTTTTATTTTCAACAGTTGATTCTGCTGATTGGATCCCTGAACGCAATAGCTCCAATTACCTCTGTTTTCTTCCTTTTATCGTATGCAGCTATCAATCTGGCATGCCTTGCCCTGGAACTGGCTTCTGCCCCCAATTTCAGGTAACCTGTTGTTGTAGTTTGTGTTGAAAAAGGCTCCGGCAGAAGTGTCCAGTTTTTCTTGAATGTGTGTGCGTTATTCTCCTAACCCTTCTTGAAACTTCTTAGTCACAGTTTGGCAGATTCATTTTTTTGATCATTACCTTGACTGCAGTCACACCCACTTTCTTCACTTTCAGGTAGACTGTTAGACTTCACTGACTATTGCTGGTGATGTCATTATTGAAAGATAAATACATTTCTGACATTGCTTTTGAACCTCTTCTGCGTGACTTTTTATTATAGCCCCAGTGTAAAATTGTTTATATGAACATTTGAATATGTAGTAACCTTTGTCACCTTTCCTTTGGAGTAAACTAGGCAGGCAGAGAGAGGGATCATGATGCATGGGCACCATATGGTCTCTGCAGCGCTGCCTAGGCTTTGTGCTGTGGAGAGGAGGATGCCTCCTCATAGCACAGGATAACACCTGTCTGGAAAGACAGAAAGGTGATGGAACAGTGCCGACATGTAGTAATACCATGACACACACATATTTGCATGTATGCACACATACAGAGAGAGGGAGTGAGGGGGAGAAAGAAAAGGAATAAAGAAACTTTTTTTTTTAAAGGGATGAGAAATGGGCATATTAAAGGCTGTCATAGAATTAAGAAATTTGAAGATGTCAAAAGAATTTAGGACTGTTAAATTCCAACATCAGTTCACTACTGCTGTATGGATTTGTAACATAGCTAGTTAGTTAGTTAACAAAGGATCAGTATTGCACATCAAAACCATTCAGTCCATAAGTACTCAGATCCCCTCAGTTAAAGTGACAATGTATTGACCGGCACTCATAGAAAGAAGTAGAAAGATAGAAGGACACACTAGACAACATAAAAGTCAAAAGCTGTAGTTGCCGTCACCTCAAACCTGTCACCTCATTTAAAGTGTGTGGTCTTTTTCTGATTGTGTTTTGAGTTAAAATATGTTTGCTTTATAGTTTTAGTTTGTGTGACATAATTCTTCTGTTCTTTCTGCAGGCCCACCTTTGTGTACTTCTCCTGGTACACCTGCCTCTCCGGACTCATTGGCTGCATGATCATGTGTTTCCTCATCTCCGCCGTCTACTCAAGCATCTCGCTGGTCATCATGCTGGTCCTGGCTATCATACTGCACTTCCGCTCGCTGCCCACCAGCTGGGGCTCCATCAGCCAGGCCATCATCTTCCATCAGGTGAATACTCATTGCAGATGTTTGGCAGTATTTGTGCGGCAAACATCGATCGGGGGCAGAAAAATGGATGAGGCTTCATTGCAGATGTTCGGCAGTATTTGTCCGGCAAACTTCGGCCAGGGGCAGAAAGAATGGATGAGGCTTTATTGCAGATGTTCAACAGTATTTGTTCGGCAAACTTTGGCCAGGGGCAGAAAGAATGGATGAGGCTTTATTGCAGAAACATGAGAGAGAAGCATGACTGAAGAGAGAGCTTGGCATATGACATTATCACATCCAACATAAAAATGGAGGTTGAGGCAGTAACTGTTGCATTTAGAGGGTGGAGAAAATCTCAAGCGCATATGTTGACATAGTATCAGATTTGCAAACCATGCAAGGAGCCACGTTTTCTCCATATGGAATGGGTCACTTTATTCCAGAGGTCACATGTTGTGTGAATCACGCAGATATTTTGCCCGGGCCATGTAGGCATGTGTGGGAATGAGCAGGCTGATAGGTTGGCTGGACTGACCCTACTTGAGGATGTACTGCAACTGCACAAGGCAGAGGCGATCTCTCGCCCATGGGAGGAGGTAATAAGTAAAATAGAAGATAATTGAACACCTGTATCTGGAGAGAATGATGCAGCGGAGTGTTTCTGTGGGCTGTGGGTGCCACTCAAGACTCGGGAGAAAGGTAAGAGGAGTGGTTAACCAGATGACAACGGGTGTCATCTGTATAGAGACTCTTTGTTTGAGGAGGGAGATGAAGTTAACATGGGCTTATCCTGAATGCTTTAATTTCATATCTTTTCCCAGATGAAAGGGGAGTTGCCGTGGCTAGTGTGCAGATCGGAAGGTCATGGGTTCATTCCATGGCAGAGCCGGACTTTAAAAAAAAAAATGACCTTGATTCCCAGGCCGACCCAGCCTTTAGTGGGTACCGGGTGCAGTCCCGGGAAGAAAAGTTGGCCGGCGTGATGCTGACCACATCACCCGTCTTGGGCCAATTGGTCTATAAAAGTATTGGTCTAGCCCTATATGCCCTTTACGCTTAAAGCTGTGGAAAAGGGTCCTTTTTTCCCTTACCCAGGTGAAACAGCAGGGAATGGATGGAGAGTGAGAAGCAACAATACAATCCATAATCTGTTTAAATTACCACTTATTACTGGAATCATAAAAGCTAATAGACTGCAGTAGTTGCTGCCAATGGAGAGAATGGCATATAACAGATGGTCATAAACTGCAAATACAAATGATTTGAATGGTAATAATAATAAGAAGAAGAACACAGGGGCGCATACACAGCAGGGGTCCACTGATTTTCAGTAGAAGGATCCCTCGTCGACAATTGGTTCGACGCATTACCTCCTATACAGTCACGGAGGGTGGGCCGACCTGGGTCATAAAGCCAGGCCTTGATCTTCTCCTGCTGCACTTATTTGTACTCTCGGACAGGGACAAGATGAAATTGTGACTATGCAACAGGTACTGTGAGATTTGAAGTTATGAAAGAAGACCACAAGTTGGACCAAGAAGACAGGGGAGAAATAATCAACCAGTAGACCTACATACACTTGGGGGGTAATCAGCTGGCAAGAGAAGGCTATCCAAAGTGATGAATAAAGGCAGCTGATACTGCAGCCATACACTTCAAGGGCTCTGAATGCTGGAGAAGAAGAAGATATGTCTTGTTATGATTTAGTAGCTCATTCTTGAGCCAGTGCTCGGTATGAAGACCGCCTCTGAACAGTACAAAGAGTACACAGTAGATCTTTACATGTGTTTTATAAATTATATAAATATAATTAATTATATTAAATTATAAATTCAATTATAATTATAAATATACATTTATGTTTTTAGAATTCTTGCCAAATGGCCCAATAGCCGGCTGACTGCTGCTTCTTCTACTTCTCTTCCACCTTGTACCTCAGCGAAGTGTCGGAGGAAGGTGTAACATTTGTTGATCAGTTCTGTCAAGAAAACTGTTAAGACTGAAGTTCATTTTTGTAAGGCTGTTTTTAATGCCATCACTCCATCTTTTCCGAGGTCTTCTATTTGCTCTATACCCGTTGTAACATTTTAGTGCGGCTCGCTGTGGCAGTACCAGATAGTACCAGTGCATTCTTGTTAGGTGTCCAAACCACTTCATTTGTTGTTCTTTGATGACCTGTAAGACTGGCTTTATTCCTAGCATTCGTCTGATTTCATGATTTCGTATTCTATCTTTCCTTGAAACTCCTGCAGCTCTTCTAAGGCATTTCATCTCTATTGTCACAATTTTATGTTCATTGGATGATGTAAGTGTCCATGTTTGGCACTGATAGCATAGCTGACTGCTGACACTCTGAAAGTTATTCCAGCTGGGTTTTGCTGATACAAATTCCCCATTTCTGGACTGGGTGTCCAAAAATTCTTTATTAGACCCTGTTCTCAAAAGTTTGTAGTAAAGGTTAATCTCTTTTAGCTATAGTGCAGGTTTCACAATAATTATTGTTAAAATAATGTGTTCATCTTAACTCTTTGAGTCCCAAGGAATGCATCATACGTTCATAGATTCATACCTAGAGGCCCATTGAACGCATGATGCGCCGATTTTACGTCTCTCTTGGGCCTGTGATGCTAAACCCCCTGGGACTCAAAGAGTTAAAATCATGTCTGTTCTTGTTTTTCTTAAAATAATTTCCACCACTGTTTTTAAAATGTTGACAGTTTTTACGATAATGTTGAATAATCATCATCATCATCATAAACCACCAATTCTACCATTAAGTGTCGTGGGGAGGAATTATTTGCGATCCAGTGCATGCTGTTTGGCACTGGCTATTGTCATGCCGTGAAGGTGTAAATAGTCTTCAGTGTTGTCGATCCATGTTTTTCATGGCCATCCTCTTGCTCTTGTAGCTGATTTTCTATGATTTAGTTTTTCTGGTGGTATTTGATGTTGCTGCATTCTAACAAGATCACTTGATATATGGTTTAGCCCTCTTGTTAGATTGCAGCGCTTGCCTGCTCGGGTTGAATAATCATTGTTTTTAAAATAACATTAAAAAATATGGAATGATCATTTCACTTAAAATGATGTCCACCGTTGTTTCTCTGACCTCCAGGTTAGAAAGTATCTGTTGATGCTGGATTCCAGGAAGGCACATGTCAAATTCTGGAGGCCTCAGATACTTCTGATGGTTGCCAACCCCAGGCAGAGCTGCGAACTGATGGACTTCTGCAACGACATCAAGAAATCTGGCCTGTACATCATTGGCCATGTGAAAATTGGGCGACTGGAAGATTTCCCTGTAGATCCCGTCTTGGAAGCAACATCACAATGGCAGAAACTGGTCAGACACATGAAGATCAAGGCATTCGTAGAACTGACTTTAGCTAGTTCTGTGTCTGAAGGATTCCAGCATTTGGTGAGACTCTCCGGGCTGGGCGGCATGAAGATTAATACAGCTTGCTTTGGGTTCTTTGATGAAAGTGTGCCCACTGACTCCCTTCTGAAGCTGAAAGTCAAGAGAAGGTTTCTTGGTGTTGTGGAACAAGGACTGATGTCAGATATCGAGTCATCATTTGAGTCTCCAAGAACAGACGCTAACAAACACCTGAGTGCGTATGAATATGTCATGCTGCTTCGGGACGCCATTAAAATGCAGAAAAATGTGTTTTTGTGTCGAAATTTCCAGCTGCTAAACAAAGAATCCATTTTGAAACCACCATTCAAGTCTTACATCGATGTTTGGCCTGTGAATTTCTTCCGCCCCGAGACAGCCAGCTTTTTTGACAATACGTGTCTGTTCATGTTACAACTGGCATGTATACTTAATATGCAGGATCGATGGAGCACCCACACAGAATTGCGGGTTTTTCTTTGTGTGAAAGTGCTTTCTGAACGCACAGTAGAAAAGCAGAAAAAACTGGCAACATTTCTCAAAGAGCTTAGGATTCAAGCCAAAATTGTGGTAAGTTATAAACTTTTTTTAAAAATACAAATTGTGATAAGTTATATATGAAAATTTAATCAAATAAGAATTGTGATAAGTTATACATGAAACTTTAATCAATAAAGAATTGTGATACTTGGAACTATAAAGTAATAATTGTGACAAGTGACGCAAAGCTTTATACACGTGAGCTGATGTGGTGTAACGGTTAGACACTTGCCTTGGGTTTAAAGGTTGTGGGTTCAAATCCACATTAAGCCAGATTTTTTCAAAAGTGACCTTGGCTCCCAGGCCGACCCAGCCTAGAAAGGGTACCAGGTAAAAGTCCTAGGAAGTAAAGGGGGCCGGTGCGATGTTGACCACATCACCCACCGAGTGCAGATTGGTCTATAAATTATAGATCTAGCACTACATGCCCTATATGCCTAATGGCGTGGAAAAGGGTCCTTTTATACTCATTGGAATTGTAACATGTTATTTGCTTTTACAATTTTTTTTCTTTTAAAATCTTCACCTTAAGGACAGTGAGAGTTAACTACAGTGTACCAAATTTTTCTTTAGGTATATGACATGGTGAGGCCTCATTCTTTTCCAGGGTGTGACTCTCATACCATCATCCAAAAACGGGGAGAATGTTTTTAATTAAAAAAAAAAAATTTTTTTTTAAAGACCGTCCACCCTGGGAAACTAATCCACGTACTCAAAGAAAACCTCAAATATGTTAACATTTGCTAACCTGTAAACCAGGGCTATTTAGCTAAGTTTACTCAACATTTTGCAAATGAAGATCACCACGGGCCAGGTGTCCAAGCCTCAGCATAGAAAGATCGTTAATACAATAGAACTGCTTCCCGCGTGGGTTCCAGGGCCCTGTTGTAAGGAAAACAAGAATAGTCCCACTGCCTACCCAAAAACATGTTGTGAGAGTCGACTAACTGGGAACTTCCCTCAAAGTTGGATTGCATCTGCCTGAGAGGCAAGGAACCAGTTGTCTGTATGCAGATGAGTCAGATCTGTAAAATGGATGCACACGCAACACTCAGGTTCTGGAACAGGACAGCAGTCCAGAAATGGATGAACAACCAGAACAGCTGGTGAACACGAAGAAGACGAAGAAGACAATAGAACTAGCAATGATCCGCGGGCCACTTTCTAGGCCTCCGGTGTCTAGATTTAGTCTGCGTGCCTCAAGTTAAATAGCCCTGCTCTAAGCCATGGAATCATACACACTGAGCTTTATACAAGTCAGCATTGTGGTAGGATATAACCAAGCTTTATACCTCTTCTGCCTGTCTAACCCACAGTGGAGCATAGGCCCTCAACCAACTCACGCCAAGTCATTCTATCCTTTGCATGCAACTCTCCCTGTGTCCTCCCTATCTTTCTAACTTCATTCTCCAGCTCCCTGTGTTTTTGGCCTTCTTTTATTCCTATGCCCCTGTGGGTTCCAGTGCAAAGACATTCTAGTTATATTGTTCTCCGGTTTTCTCAATGTGTGTCCTATCCAATGCCAGCATCTTTTCTTCACCTCTTGGTATGTGTAACCCATAGTTTGGAGCTTTATACAGGTCAGAATTAGGTTATATCATAAACAGTTTTGTGCAGGTCAGAACTATGTAATGACATAAACTTTGCTTTATGCAAGTCAGAATTAGTGTCAATTACAAACAGCTTTGAGGATCCAGCAAGAGGAGCCGCTGATCGAGTGGTTACAACATTGGGCTCTTATGTGAGAGACGTGGGTTCGGCCTCCGGTAAGGTGATGGAGTTTTTCCGTCAGGGGCAAAATTAAGCATCCTAACCTGTAAAGTCCATGCTGACAGTACTAGCCATCCGGCCCTAAATCTTCAAGCTCACGACTTCCTGTCTACACAGCCCTAAAAAAATGGTTAAAAACAGACAGTAGTGACAGTTTTTGACAGTACGAACAGCTTAATGTTATCACAATCGACGTCACTGCACATTGGGAATTCCCATGCGTGCTCAGTCCTCCGATGCAGCAGCCACTCCAAATTACTTCTGCTAATTGTTCCCATGAGAATTTAGTTATATTGTCTCCTATCTTGGCCTCGAAGACGGCATAGGCGTGCTTCACCATGCTTTACTTCCATATCGCGCAATCATATTAGTGTCAGGGATTCCTCATTATCCACTAGCCCAGTCTGTACAGCGTTGACGATAACTGCTCTGTCCATGCTTCTTCCCGCATGTCTCAGTGCAAGGCTTGCCAGTTGGTCCGCTCGCTCGTTTCCCTTTACAGCTGCATGACCAGGTGTGAAGATCCAGGTGAGGGAGGTTAAGTGCGATTTTCGAATGCTACGAACAGCTTAATAAAAGTCAGAGATGTGGTAAGTTATAAACAACATTATTCAAGTCTTAATTAATCTGTTGGTTATCATGGGATATTTGTATAACATAAATGTCATTATATTCCCCAGACTGTGTCATTTGAGCATTTGTACCAACATCTGGATGCAGACTTTGGGGCAGCAGGACCTAGGTCAGCAAATGATGGTCAGGCAGTGATGGACGGTGAAGATGAAGACATTCAGATGAGTGAATATGTCAGAGTACCTGATGGGTACATGAAAGCAGTGAATACTTTAGTGCAGGTAACTCATTCATCATCATCATAAACCACTTCTGCTGTTAAAGCTTCTTGGGGAGGAATAATTTGCGATCCAGTACACACTGGCTATTGTTATGCTGTGAATGCGTATATTATTTTTAATCTTGTCGACCCATATTTTCATGGCCGTCCTCTTGCTCTTGTAGCTGATTTTCTGAGATGTAGTTCTTATGATGGTAACTGATCTTGCTGCATAACTCACTGCTTTTAAATATAATGGAACTTCCTGTGTGTGTCCTGAGGCCTCTTTGTGAGCAAGAAAGAATAGTCCCACTTCCCTAATAAGCATGTCATAAGAATCGACTGACTAAGGATGTTTCCTTCGAAATCAAAGTGCATCTGCCTGGGAGGCAAAGAACCAGCAGTCTGCATACAAAGAAGCCAGATCTGTAAAAAGAATGTGCACTCAAAACTCAGATTCTGTAACAAAACAAGTCGAGAATTGGATGAACAACTAGGAGTTTACAGATGGTGAACGTGAAAAAGAAGAAGAAGAATAGTTGACCGAATCACGTGTAAATGTGTGTGTAATAGGTGTAGTCGTCCTCTTATATCGTTGTATGTCTCATAGAGCTCACAGACTATTCTTTCATTCTGTTCTTCTTCCCTCTGAGGATGTAAATGCATTGTGCTCATTTACATGACTTCAATATTTGTGACTTTTGGCTGACACATCTGACTCCTGCAGGCATTAGTTGTCTGGTTTAACTTTCCTGATTAGTTTCGTCGGAAAATGTAGTCTCTCATTGGGAAGTCGCCGTTGCATAGTGGCAAGACTCTCACCTGCGGATAGGAAGGTCGTGGGTTCGCTCCCCGGCGAAGCTGGACTTTAAAAAAAAATTACCTTGGCTCCCAGGTAGACCCAGCCTTGAGTGGGTATCAGGTGCAGTCCTGGAAAGTAAAGGCGGCTGGCGTGATGCTGACCACATTGCCCATCTTGTGCCGATTGGTCTATGACAATAAAGGTCTAGCCCTATATGCCCTATACGTCTAAAGGTGTGGGAAAAGGTCCTCTACTTATTTAGTCTCATTGTTGTGTGTTCATCTGTATTGCCTAATTCACGGGTGGCATCCACACCTGGCCTGTCCAGAGCAGCTTCATAAGACTGGTCAGCCCTCAAGAGAAGGCAGGGGCAGAACATGAGCATACCCCACCATCAAAGGAGGCTTCCATAAATACAGTAATGGTGCTCCGGTACTAGGCTCACCCAGGAAATTGCCTTGTCCTGCTCATGACTGTGTAACCTCACTTCCGTATGTTGCGACTCTTAACATCTTTGGCCTGTTATAAACATTTATTTTAGTTTTTCAAGGACATCCTTTTTTTCATCAGTCCATTTGTTTGCCATTTCAGTGCCTGTCTGTTGTTTCCCTGTTCTTTTCAGCATGTGCCCCAGTTTGTCACTGACTTCTTTGTTTTATAACCGATGATATCAACGGTTGTCTAGATATTTCTTCATCTTTCTTGAAAAGATCCCATTTGATTTTAACAATTTCCCTAAGCATTTGTTTTCAAATGCATTGAACTTTTGTTCCATGTTTTTATTGATTCTCTAACTTTCACTGGCATATGTTGAAACTGAAATAATATTTGTCTTCGTTTTAAAGTCCATGTTGTGTGGCGTTGTTAGTCATGTCTATCCACAACCTTCTATCTTGTGTAATTTCAGTCAACTCTTACACAGATGATCCTCCATGCCATGCTGTCAGACTATCCAGAATCTTTTCTTTTTGTCTTCCTCTGCCTCTCCTCTCTTCCAGCTTTCCTACTGTCACGATATACTCCTGTTTGTCATGATATACTCCTGTGTGTCACGATATACTCCTGTTTGTCACGATATACTCCCGTTTGTCACGATATACTCCTATTTGTCACGATATACTCCTGTTTGTCACGATATACTCCTGTGTGTCACGATATACTCCTGTTTTCTCCTTCTCAACACATGAGAAATAACATTAGAACTGAATAAATGTATCTTAGCTTTAAAACTATAATTTGAAGTTCCATATTTTGTTTTGTTTGTTGTTTGTTTTAGTATCCAGAAACCATGAGTTGTTAACCCTTAGGCTCGGTATTATGGATATCGCAACCTTTCGGCCTTGATTCCATTTTAAATACCGTAAATCTGGGAGAAATGTGGCTTTTCTGCCCACCCCCGGGAGTGAACCCGGACCACAAGGAGTTCGTCGCCCGCTAACCGCTCAATCCGGTTTAGCCAACTGCGCTAGCGAGCCGGGCATATTCTGTTTTAAAAGCTGCTACTGCCTTGGATATCATAATTTTTGTTATCTTTCCATGACAGTAACATTCAAAGTCAAGTAAATTAAAAGCCCCTTTTCCACACCTTCATGCTTATTGAGCATAGAGTACTAGACCTATATTTTATAGACCAATCGGCAGTTGGTGGGTGATGTGGTCAGCATCACACCAGCCACCTTTACTTCCTGGGACTGCACCTGATACCCACTCAAGGCTGGGCCGACCTGGAAACCCGTGTCATTTCTGAAGATAGCCTGGCTCCTTCAGGACCCGAAGCCATGACCTTCGGATCTGCCATAACAGTAGCTGCCCAAATAAGTCAGCTAATCTGCTACTATGATTTTCTTCGACTTCAGTATCACATCAGCTTGATCTGTTATTAATGTCTTCAAAATATTTTTCTTCTTCTTCTTCGTGTCCACCAGATGTACACTCTGGCAGAAAGTTCTGGTTGTTCATCCACTTCTGGACTGCAGTCCTGTTCCACTACCTCAGTGTTGTGTGTACATCCATTTTATAGGTCTGACTCTTTTATATGCAGACTGCTGGTTCCTTGCCTCTCAGGCAGATGCACTCTGACTTCGAAGGAAGCTCCCAATTAGTCAACTTTTACGACATGCTTTTTAAGTAGACAGTGGTTCTATTTTTGTTTTCCCTATAACAGGGCCCCGGAACCCACACGGGGAACAAATATTTGTCTTTTCATAATCGATTTGCAGTTCGACATTTGTTGCTTCATTGGCTAAATCCTCAACTTTTCTTTGCATGTCTTTGCTGTTCTTACTTAGCAGATCAATATCGTCTACAAAATCGAGATGATGCGTTTACTGTTGCTGTACTTTTCAGGCAAATTCAAACCGCTCTGCTGTGACATTCCTGTATCTTCCGCGCCCTGGAGCGGAACTACAGGATCCAATTGTCTACTTACACCAGCTGGCTGCTCTCTCCGACTGGGCCCGGCCTACAGTGTTTGTCCATGGCTTGCATCCGGTGACATCCACAACTTTATAAAACATGTTAGTCTCATGTCTATAGTACTGTAATTTTGATTATAGAACTGTTATTGCTATGACTGTGTACATCATGTTATTTTGTTACTGATCTTTTATGGATATTAGTAACATTATACTGTCTTGTTTTAAAAATCATCCATATATCACTTTGGTTTTAGCAATATTATAATAATCGTATTCTTAATTTTACAATACTGTTTTTTGTAATAATTTCACTTTATTGTTATTTGTAGTTGTGACATTAATATTATAATACAATAGTGATATCAGTTTATAATTTTGTTGTTGATATCAGTTGTTTAATAGCATTATAGTTATCAGCAGTACAAAATATAATGTTATTGGTAACAGTAAAGAGAAGTCTGTGGCATTGAGCTTGATTGCACAGGTAGAACTGAGGGTAGGAATTGCCTGTCAGCCATATGTGGTGTATGAATGATACAGCATGATGATGATGAGGGCTTGTCTTCTAGGAAAAAAGTGCCACTACTCACCAAAAAATGTTTTAAAAAAAGTTGCCAGTACTGACCAAAGTGTCTTAAAAAAAAAAAAGTCCGTCCTCACCACAAGTGTCTATTACAGAAAAATTATGCCCCCCAAAAAAATAAATAAATAAATTGCTGGTACTGTGTACCGTTTCATAGTGCCATAAAACACCCTAGATGTAACTGCTATTATTAATCTTTTTCTTCTTCTTGTCTCTACTCCTGGAATGCCTCTCAGTGTCAAAGCAGGGAAGAGATCTTTGAATCGGGCCCTTCTAGTTTCCTTCGTATTTAGTACCTTTCAGTGTCTCTGATATTTCTGCCATCCGTCTTCTGTGTGGTCTCCCTCTGACTCTGTATGACATTGCTCTCTTTGGGGCCCTCTCTGTTGCCAATCTTGTTACACTTCCAATAAAGTTATTAATATCAGAAAAATGAGAAAGTTATTGTCAGCCAACTGTGTTCATTGATTTGCCAGCTTGGTTTCTGTATGCCAAGTGGCTGTGTTGATTTCTGTATAGGGTGACCATATCGCCAGGACAGTATCGTGTTTTTTTTTTAGGTAGGCCCATACCATCCCATCGAAACTTTAAAAAAAAAAAGTCTTTTGTCCCAATTGATTTTAAACAATTGAAATATTGACAGGACGGTAGGGGTCTTCATAAAAACGATATTGTTCCAGCAAAAACTGCACTTATGGTCACCCAGTTTTTTAAATGATATTCGGGAACACAATCTCAGTCATAGATTTATGACATTCAATTTTTGTTAAATGTTTGGACAGCTAACCCATGTCTGTGCCTTATTGGTTCTAAACGCATTTTCAAACCAGTGTTTGAGGTCAGTTGTAGGTGATTTGGCAGCAGACCACTTTGCATTGAGTTTAACAGTGGTATGAGCGTCAAACCATTCAGAAAGCAATGGGGAAACTGCTGAACATAAAATTGCCCAGTGAAACCCAAAGGACAAGCAGATGAGTTGGTTTTATGTCTTTGAAAGGATATTATGATTACCTATGTTTTGTTTTTAGACCACTGAAAGAAGTTACTTGTTAATATATAAGCCATACCTGTTTTGTTTGCATATTTAGACATTTACTTACATTTTAATTTTGTTGTTGTATTATCTTCAGTTAGAAATATATATATATATAACAATAAACAGACGATGGTAAACTGTTAAGTATACAGGGTAGGTAGTGCTGCAATTAACAGACGATGGTTAACGGTTAAGTATACAGGGAGGGTAGTGATGCAATTAACAGACAATGGTAAACGGTTAAGTATCTAGGGTAGGTAGTGCTGCAATTAACAGACAGTGGTAATCGGTTAAGTATACAGGGTAGGTGGTGATGCAATTAACAGACAGTGGTAATCGGTTAAGTATACAGGGTAGGTAGTGCTGCAATTAACAGACAATGGTAAACGGTTAAGTATACAGGGTAGGTAGTGCTGCAATTAACAGACAATGGTAAACGGTTAAGTATACAGGGTAGGTAGTGCTGCAATTAACAGACAATGGTAAACGGTTAAGTATACAGGGTAGGTAGTGCTGCAATTAACAGACAATGGTAAATGGTTAAGTATACAGGGTAGGTAGTGCTGCAATTAACAGACAATGGTAAACGGTTAAGTATACAGAGTAGGTAGAGATCATGCTGGTATTAACAGATACTGGACAGTGGGAAATGATTAGGTGTAAAGGGTAGGTAGTGGTTTTGCTTAAATTAACAGGTACTAGATAAATGGGAAATGGGGATCTTTACAGGGTAGGCAGTGATCTTGCTGGTATGAATAGATACTGGACAATGGGACCTGGTTACCAGTGCAGGGTAGTTAGTGATCTTGGGATTAACAGATACCAGATGGTGAAAAAATGGGTAGCTATATGACAGTGATATATGGCAGTGATCTTTCTGAGATTAGCAGACACTTCTTCTTCAAGACCATGTCATGTGGCATTGGTAGTCATGTCCATCCACAACCTTCTGTCTTGTGTACTTTCTATCAGCTCTGACACAGATGATCCTTCCTGCCATCATGTCAAACTGTCCAGCATCTTTTCTCTGTCTTCCTCTGCTTCTCCTCCTCTCCACGTTTCCTACTGTCACGATGTACTCCAGTTTTCTCCTTCTCATCACATGACCAAAGAATGTAGATTGTCTCTTTCTGATGTGGTCAATCAGTTCTCTTTGTGAGTCAGTTTCTTTCAAAACGTTTTCATTACTTATTTTATCTTTTCAGGGTACTCTCATTATTCGTCTATAAAACCACATCTCCGCAGCTTCCAAATAAGTTTTCACTAATTTACCGACTGCTTTCACTAATTTACCATTTTCACTAATTTACCAACTGTCCATGATTCACTTCCATATTTCAGGATAGGATTTATATAACTTTAAAGAATTATGTTCCTTGTCACAGTTGACAAAAAGGACTGGATAAAATATTTTTCCTTCTCTTCTGTAAAATGCTGCCTTTGCTTGAGCTATTCTACATTTAACCTCTTTAATACATCTTGCATCGGATGTTATCAGAGTACTCAAGTGCTTAAACATATCAACTTCCTTGAAGTTTGTCCCATTTACTTTGATGTTGCATTTTGGAGGGTCAGTTTTCTTTGTAATTGCCATTACTTCTGTTTGTCTGCTGTTCAAACTAAGACCCTTGTTTTCACTTCCGTTACGATTATATCTGTCATTTCTTGCAGTTGCGTTTCGTTTTTGGTGATCAAACCTATATCATCAGCATATCGCAGGTACGAGATCTAGATACTAGACAATGGGAAATGGTTAAATGTAAAGGGTAGGTAGTAATCTTACTGGGTTTAATGGATAACAGACTAGGAAATAGGGTAGGTAGTGGTTCCATAAAACACAGATGCCCAAGAATAAATAATGGTTAACCAGGGTAAACAAAAACAAAAAACTTGCTGAGATTTACAGATACCCATGAAGGTCAAAGTTGAGGACCCGTATCCTAGCCTTAGGCATATTGAGTATGCGGTAATAAACATATATTTTATAGGCCAATGTTGTTCGACTGACGACCCTCTGAGGCCTAGCAAGCAGCCCATGGAACATTGCCAGTTGTATTGTATTGATAAATCTTTCTTTGATGGGCTCAGTTGACTGAGTCATGTTCTTAATGTGCCCTGTTGATTGAGTCATGTTCCTAATGTGCCCAGTTGATTGAGTTATGTTCTTAATGTGCCCAGTTGATTTAGTCATGTTCTTAATGTGCCCAGTTGATTTAGTCATGTTCTTAATGTGCCCAGTTGATTAAGTCATGTTCCTAATGTGCCCAGTTAAGTCAAATTATTAATGTGCCCAGTTAAGTGAGTCATGTTCCTAAGGTACCCAATTAATTGAGTCATGTTCCTAATGTACCCAGTTGATTGAATCATGTTCTGAGGAGGAAGAAATTGGTTGGTTACAAATGTTTCCTTTCCTGAATGTGACAAATGAATTATTTCGCTAAGGACACACAGCCTTAATGTATAATTTTGCAATGTTACGATTGTACATATATATACTGTGTTATGTTCATGTTTCATATTGGATACATATTTTTTGCTTGTGTTAATTATGTTATTCTAATCTCTTATGTTTTAATGGATCAGTGTTATCTGATTGTTATATTGGTCCTGTTCACATCTTATGTTATATAAAAAAATTTTTTAAAATATTAATACTGTTACTTTCTTGTGTTATATTGAATATGCTGTTATATTGATTCTGTTATTCTTTTATTATATTGCATGTGTATTATTTACTGAAATATTGGGCCTGTGCTGTTTTGCTGGTATCATTTTGGATCTGTACCACTTTTTTTGTGATGCCATATTAGACTTGTTATGCTCTTGCTTTGTATTGGTTTGAGCTGTTTGCTTGCATCTTATGTTGAATGTTGAGTGTTATATTTTGCGTTCAGAACTGACATCACAGCTCTCGGGACATTCCTAAAAATACTCCATCCTTATCTTCAGCAGCCAGCGAAGAGTTCCAATTCTGACAGTGCCAGGGGCAGTGTGATTTTGTGTCCGTCTTGTCTTTCCTTTTAGTGTCCTCCAGATCCCCTAGTCACTCCCAGCTGTACCAGTCTCTCCAGACCATAATGATTGATTCGTGCCTCTGCATATACTTGCATCTTATCAAACTTGTTATTTAAATAGTAAAACAAAGAAGACAAAGAAATCTTTTTTTTTTTTTTTCACCTGAAACATTTATTATTTGCTGTTACCTTATATTGTTATATTAAGTTATGTGGTCAGTGTTACTGTAGTGCCTTTACTTCCCACAAAATGTCCTGGCATGTTTTACTGCTGGGGCATCCTGTAGCCTAGGACAATTGTTATAAAAATTCTCGCCATAATGGAGATTTGAACACATAGCTGGCAGGCAGGCAGGCAGGATAGCCATATTGCTGTCGCTGATCCCAACATGATGTTTTCTTGTGCTGTATTGGATCTATTATTTACCTTTGTAATATTGAACCTGTTCCTTGCTGTTGTC